GACCTTCTTTATCTTTATCTAGATAAAGAAAGACCTTCTTTATATTCTCTTCATATAATGAGTGAAACAATGCGAATGGCCATGTCTGCTGTCACTGCAATACGTACAAAATGTACATGATTAGGCCTTTTGCTTTACAGCACTGAGCATCACGTGAGCAGAGCGCATGCAGCATATGTTTAAATAATATCCGGACAACCAAAACTCTTGAGGGACAACCATATGATACTCTCTTGGTTGTCCTCCGGACAACCCAAAAAAAACCTTAAAATTGAGCACTGTCAGTGACACATGTGTTATATGATATCTATGGCTGTGCTGATTTGTCGACTCTTGCCGCCATGATACAGAACCATGGCGAAACGCGTTTTTCGAGTTGTTTTTTCTTTGAGCGAATATAGGCTTGATAGATATTTTTACAGTTTGATTTTCAAAGCTAACGTTCAGTTAAAGTGTAGTGAGTTATTTACTTACGTTTTTACAGTGGTTTGTCACAAAAATATGCGCGGGCATGCATCTTTAAAACCTAGTGTAGAGACAGGGTTATGGTCTCAGGAGAAAAAAAATCACGTGCTATAGTTTTGTTGACATATGTAATTTGAAATGCAGATTGGTGCACGTTAGTGAAAAGAATTATGTGCGAGTGTTCTATGACATAATAGCCTTGCTATATATACGCTTGGTGTCATGACAGGAATGCTGGGAAGTACCAGAACGGTCAGGAAAATATGAAAACGGTTGGTAAAAACATGATAAACCATGCCTTTAAAACTGTTTGTTATGGAATTGTTAAAAGTAAACACTAAACAGCTGGAAATTAAGGCATGTCGATCAAGGAGTTAACGCATGCCGAACAAGCAATTAAGGCATGCCGAACAAGCAATTAAGGCATGCCGAACAAGCAATTAAGGCATGTCGAACAAGAAATTAAGGCGTATTAGATTATGTATGGGCTATTGCAAATTAGATACAGATTTAAAGGCGTGTCAGACCCGACATGCGTTGAAGGTGTGTGGAGAACCCTAGTATTTAATATAGCTGCTGCTTTATTGTTACATGTCACTACAGTTGACATTGATCAATAATGTAAAATTGCTGTAAAACAATAGTAGTGGTAGAAAACTTCTCTTTAGTAATATATTAATTAGTTGCCTAAAATTAATTGGCATGAATGGCTGTCTGCATGGTTCAGTCAAGACAGATTCTATGGTATCTGCCTCCTTGTTTTTGTTCTGAAGAATCAATAGTAGTAATATACAATGTTTCTCATGTGTTATCCTTCTATGTAGTGCCTATATTATGTATATATATATTATATGGGGCGGAGCATGTTCCTGTGTTCGATTAAAATGGTATTTGCTGTAATATATGATTATGTATGTGAGATCAGAGGCCGAATTTAATTTCATGACAACCTATGAATACGTGACAGCCAAAATCTAATTTTCCATGAAAGGTTCCTGGTTAAATTATTAGCAACGTGCATAAGAACTATTTATAGCCACATGTTCATGAGTTTTCTCGTGCTAGGAAATGTCTGGAGCAATGTTAGTAAGTATAACAGAGAAATACTGAGTGAAGAGGCGAGAAAAAAGTTTTTGCTCTAACCTCCATCAGAAAAATACACGGTTAGTTTCACGTTACGTTCAGTTACATAATATCATGTTCGCGTCGTCCCCTGTGTATGAATACCCAATATATATACATTAGATATATATATATATATATATATATATATATATAATATATATATATAATAGCGTTTCAGTAATTAGTTTCGTAAAAAACGTACCTCGTAAATTCCTTTTATGTCAATCCCTGTTTCCCATTCACGCATTGACTTCCAATTGACTGTTTAGAATGGTTATTTTCTCGTATATGCTTGCAAGGATGCCATGTATGTGATTGTGCTGCTGTGTTTCTTCTTTTCACGTCGATGTTATAATAATCATCACATCGCCAATATTTGTTATGTATTTTTTTTGTCGATAGTAATTTTGTTAGTTGGTATATGGATGGGAGTGAACTCAATAAAATGCGCAGTAATTTACCTGTGGGAAAGATTAAAAAAAGCCCCCCTAAACGCGTTTTGTTCTAGTGCGAAATTTTCCTTTTTGAAATTATTTTAAAAACAAGTACTAATCTTCGATGTTGATGCCCGCAGTCGCTGTGGGATCTTCTGGTTTATTACTCGTCGCTGTGGTTCTATTAGGTTAGGGGGTGGTAAAACTATAGGACACAAGTTTGTATTATTCCAAATAACTCGATAAATGTATTAAATGTCCCGTTTCGGCGTACACATGCGCTCAAATTATATTCCTTTTCTAGTGCGGTTGAGTTCTAGCTTCCCCTAAAAGCATTAACCACAAGTAATGTAGTATTATCTTTAAAATTTAGATTATTTGGCCATACCTAATTCGTTTTTTTTGCGGCAAGCAAACCAACGGCGAGTACTACATATTTTACTGTGTGAATCCATGTTCGAAGGTACATATTGCTTCGATTAATTAGCGTCGACCGACTGTATTATAAATTATTATTATTGTTAGTATAAACAATAATAAATACATCGCGGTTCTATCAGTCATAATTGTTTTCGCGGAAAGAACTGTACAAGTATTTCTATCTCGTTCATAAATGAAAATTCCGCGTCAAATCTGTGCTCGGCAATGACTTCTATGGTGACTTTTCTTGCTATTAAACTAAAACGTAACACACACATCAGATCTGAACCACTCAGAAATTGTAAGTTTATAGGCGTGTGCGTAACACGTTGGAATAGGACCGGGTTGTCCCGGGTTCAATTCTTGTGAGGTAACTTCGTAAAATATTTTCAAACTCTTGTTGAGTAAAATTTAACACATAGATTCCTTCTGAAAATATAACGAATGGTAGGTTTGGGTGCTAGCGTATCGTGCTGGGCTGGTACTCAATAATCCCGGGTTCAAATTTTGTCAAATACTACGGTAAGATATTTTCGAGATGTTGTTAGGTGAAATGTAAACACAACTTGACCATGACAAGTGATGTAAACATTTTGAAAATGGCTCAATGATATGGCCTTGAGCTCAAGGCTATGGCCTTGGCCTAATTATGTAGAAATTTTAAAATTGGAAAATGTAATGGCCTTGAGCTCAAGGCCACGGAAAATTTTAGAAATTGTGAAATGTAATGGCCTCGAACTCAAGGCCACGGAAAATGTTAGAAATGGGAAAATTGGTCGAGGCCACGGTCAAGGTCCACGCAACAACAACAACAATTACTGCACTGTACTCTACTTTACTGCTCTACTGCACTGTACTCTTGCTCTACTATACTGCACTGCTACTATACTGCACTGTACTCTACTCTACTATACTGCTCTGCTGCTCTACTGCACTGTAACTCTACTATACTGCTCTACAATACTGCACTGTACTCTATTACTTTACTGCTCTACTATACTGCTCTGCTGCTCTAGTTTATTCTACTCTACATGCGGAGATTCCAAGCACCGCAACCAGTGATTCACTGCACTGTATTATCCTACCACTTTACTATTTACCGAAATATGTAGAGCTTTTTTTTACAAATTATTGTGAACATCTTTTAAATAATCGCCATCATATAAAACGTACCTCAACATTTTTATTTAGAGTATATTTATTAGAAAGTATTTCAATCGTGAAAGCATGTGCTAATGCCCACGCGCGGGGACTTCAATATATA